AACAGTGATTGCTGTCAATTTTCCAAGGAATCGTGTGATAAAATCTGGTTATTTACTTTGTGGAAAGGGTATTTGAAAATATGAATATTTTTTGAAGAACTTGAATCATTGAATCATAGAATCAAAGAGTTGGAAGAGACCTCATGGGTCATCCAGTCCAACCGCCTGCCAAGAAGCAGGAATATTGCATTCAAATCACCCCTGACAGATGGCCATCCAGCCTCTGTTTAAAAGCTTCCAAAGAGGAGCCTCCACCACACTCCGGGGCAGAGAGTTCCACTGCTGAACGGCTCTCACAGTCAGAAAGTTCTTCCTCATATTCAGATGGAATCTCCTCTCTTGAAGTTTGAAGCCATTGTTCCGCGTCCTAGTCTCCAAGGAAGCAGAAAACAAGCTTGCCCCCTCCTCCCTGTGGCTTCCTCTCACATATTTATACATGGCTATCATATTTCCTCTCAGCCTTCTCTTTTTCAGGCTAAACATGCCCAGCTCCTTAAGCTGCTCCTGTTTTTCCTGCCAAAGTGGAGTATCTTGCATTTGTCCCTGTTAAACTTCATTTTGTTAGTTTTGGCCCATCTCTCTAATCTGTCAAGATCTTTTTGAATCCTGCTCCTGTCCTCTGGAGTATTGGCTATCCCTCCCAATTTGGTGTCATCTGCAAACGATGATCCTGCCTTCTAACCCTTCATCTAAGTCATTAATAAAGATGTTGAACAGGATCAGGACCAGGACGGAGTCCTGCGGCCCTCTGCTCATCACTTATTTCCAAGATGAAGAGGAAGCATTTTTGTGCCCATCCCACCCACCCAGCATTTTGTTAGTTTGGTTCACTGTTTGTAAGTTTTCATGTTGCTTTATGTCACAACTTCAGTTGGCAGTTGGCATGGGCCCTGGATCCGACTGTTTTATCCCCCCTTACCGGAAGGGGGGAGCGCCCGGTGGAGCAGGGGGGGCTATGTTAGCTTGCCCGGTATTGTGCTGGCAGCACCCTGGCGCGAATTTGGTATCGGTCAGCAGCAGGCTGCCCGATAGGTGATCCCGAACCCATGCATGGCAGCCAATCCTTGTTCCTGTAATCAATAAATAAGCTGTGGCCAGTTTCCATCCCAATCTGGTGTATGTGTCATCTCTATTTGGGGGTGGTAGGTGTGTCGCCCATGCACACGCAACAGCATGCATTATGTAAATCCTAAATACCGGATGCTACTGTAACATCCCAAGAAGTGAGAGGTTCTGCGTATGGGGAGAACAAACAGTGGAAGACACTGAACATTTCTTAATTGACTGTCCAGCATATACTGAACTGCGAGACAGATATTTACATCCAATATTATCCAACTGCAGGTCCCCCAACAGAAATGATATTCTGACATCCCTCTTGCAAGGGCAGGAAAGATCCAGCATAATCAGAGTAAGCCTTTTTATTCTGAAAGCTATTAAGAAAAGAGCAGATTTCCTGAAAGAAAAACCAGGAAAATAAGATTCTGACTATAAATAGAAGGTCAGCTGCTGTCCTCACCTTTTTGCCTTGTTTTTTTACTCGGGTTCTATTTTGAAATGGTCATATGACTGATCAAATAAATAAATATTATTATTATTATTAAATCCTAAATCCAGTCGCACTTTAATGTTGGCTTTCCACATGAGATCTAAAAACACATACTCGAACGAGTGCAGAAATTTTGTACACACTGTGTATGTATGACTATACTACCATCATATAACTTTCCATAAAGTCCATAAAATATACATAGCAGACCACTTTTTGCAAATTGACATTTATCTTTGGGGAAAACAATACAATCTATGTTTAAATTTCCTCCTCCCCTTTCTTGCTGTTGAATCTGGTTTATATGTTAACCAGGATTGCTCACAATCTTGAGTTTAAATTACTGCTGCATTATTTTCCCCTTTCTTTTCTTTTTGACAATGAATGATTTGTCTTCTGGAGCGAATGAGTCTGTGAGTTTCCAAAAACAGATATGGATCAAGGATGACCTGAAAAAATGGTAGAGTGTGAGCTGGTTGCTGGTCTCACTAAAGCCCCTTCTACATTGCCATATAATCCAGATTATCAAATCTGATAATTCAGATTGTCCATTTTGGGCTGGATTATATGCATCTACACTTTCTTTCTTTTTTTGTCGTGTCAGGAGTGACTTGAGAAACTGCAAGACGCTTCTGGTGTGAGAGAATTGGCTGTCTGCAAGGACGTTGCCCAGGGGACGCCCAGATGATTTTTGATGTTTTTATCATCCTTGTGGGAGGCTTCTCTCATGTCCCCGCATGAGGAGCTGGAGCTGATAGAGGGAGCTCATCCGCCTCTCCCCGGATTCGAACCTGCGACCTGTCAGTCTTCAGTCCTGCCGGCACAGGGGTTTAACCCACTGCGCCACCGGGGGCTCCTTGCATCTACACTGCATATAAACCAGTTCAAAGCACATAATCTGGAGTTTGTATGGCAGTGTAGAAGGGACGTAAGACAAAATGTTTGGGTTAAATGTTAAAGGAAGTGGAGCTGACAGACACCATTAGTGCCTGATTAGACAAATAGTCTTTAGGAATGTTTAAGACATAGCTAATAAAGCTGGAATGCAATAGGATTAAAACTAGTGGAGTCCCTTTCCTGAGGTCTTTGTTGCTGGGTTTTTCCTTCATGTTCCAGTTTTTTTTAAGAGCATACATATGAGAGGCTGGGAACCATATACACATAACAGTGTAAAAATCATGTTACGTATCCTGTAAGAAAGAAAGCAGTTAAGAATAGTTACGCTTGTGACTGAAGCATTGATCTAAATATTAAATTAGTTTGGATTTAGATATTTGTGTAGGTTTAACACCTTTCCCATACACCTTTTTTAATTATCTCATATTATAACTTATAGCAGAGGGGATTCCCACAAATATGTTTACTCATTACTCATTAATTATTTATTTTATCATACTTATATCCCACCCTTCTCAACTCCAACTTTCTTGTTACCTGACTCTGACCCCATAACCTTGAGCCATGGCAATTAAAGTGGTGCCGAATTGCATTAATCCTACAGTGTAGTAGATGAAACCCTAATGGCTTCTAAATTCTGGAGTACTTTTCCTAAGGGAGCTCATTTTGCTTCAGCTTTAACAACTTTAATTGACTTGATGAAAGCCTCTTTAAAGCCTTTGGGCAGTACTTCATTTCTTTGCTGAATGTGGTCTTTAATTTTATGTTGTATTTTATTGTTTTGTGCTGCTGTCTAAGAACTTATTTATTATACCATAATATTGATTTGGAAGTGTCAATACACTGCTTTATTTGGTCATTTAGTATCTTGCTGTCCAGGGGAGTTATAACTGTTTTAAGTAAACTAAACACCCACAATGCACCAATATTAGGAGTTTTTTCATTCTGTGGGTGTCATGGCATAGACCTAGCATGAAACAGTTTCCAACAGATGCTTCCCATATGGCCCCTATTTCCTAAAATCTGACATTTTATGTACCTATAGCCATCTGCAGTGAAACACAGACAAATGGCTTCTTAATCCCGTCCCTCCCTTGTTAATAGCAGGTTTTCTGTCATCTTCCTATTATTCATCATGACTGTTTACTTCCCTTTGCATTTCCCTTTGCTTTTTTGAGAAGGTGAAGGGCACATGGAAAATTGCACCCAAATCTATCCATATATGCTAGCAGCTTAAATACAAGGGGTATTTTTTAAGTAAGGTCCGTTTGAATATAAGTACACAATGAAAGTTTATTTCAAAAAAGTAAATTTATTTTCAGAAAGTACATACTTCACTCTATTTTTCGACATAGTTGCCAAGTTTGTTCAAACACTTATCATACCTCTGAACCAATTTTAAAATACCCTCTTCATAAAAACTTGCCGCCTGCTCTAATAACCAAGAGTTCACTGTAATCAAAGAAGGGCAACCGAAGCGGTCCTCATCATGGATGTTGTCAAGGCCATATTTGAATTGTGGTACCCACTTACGCACTTTGCTTTCACTCATAACAGTATCACCACCCATTTCACACATCTGTCAATGAATTTCTGTAGCAGGCAGGTTCCTTGCTGACAAAAACCGTATCACTGAGCGAACCTCACATGCGGAGGGTGAGTTGATAGTCTTAAACATTTTAAAGCACAGAACAGAACCGTACAGGTTAGCTACAGAGCAGAAACTGAGCACAGTTGTTCCCAAGGCATGCCGGTACATGACGCACGCACTCATTGCGGTATGCGCACAAACTACTAGTGTCTACAACAAAACGGACCTTACTTTAAAAATACCCCTCGTATGATTTGCCTGTTTAGTCAAATGGTGGAGACCTAATGTGGTGGTGATGACTTTCAGAAAGGCTTTTCCCACTCAACTTATTCCAGTTCAGACCAGGGATAGAGAACCTTTGGTGCCTCAGACATTTTTTGCATTATAAGCTCCAACCATTATGACCAGTGGGAAGAATTATAACTATAGTCCAAAATATATGGCAGGCCAGAGGTTCACCTTCAACACTCTTGACTGTATGCTGAAAGGAGTCAAAACAAGGCATGGTTTTTGTTTGCTGAAATGCCTTTTATGCTCCTAGTTAAACTATTTTCAGGTTTTTTCCCCTTATCTGGTTGCTTTCATAATGGATACAAATTAGGATCTCATTCTTTTTTCCCTTTAGGAAATAAAATTGGCCTCTTACTGTTGTTTTTTCTGATTTATGGAGTTGGCTCCCTAGTAGCTTCAACCACTAAAAGACATTCCAATGGAAAAGTTTTCTCCACATTTGTGGTTAGGCTTTTTCTATTTAATTATATGATTCCACTAAGCTTTCCATTGAGATGGGATGCCCTGTTGCAAACCTGGTGTTTTTAAAATCATGATTCAGAGGAAATCCCACTCTGCTCCCACTTGTTACAGAATTAGAAAATAGGCATGCATCAAACAGAAATAGGCCGCTAAAAATGAATTTTCCCCCAAAAGGCACATTCATTTTTTCCTCTCTTCCACTTTCTGCAGATGAAGAACTATTTTCAGGAATGTACATCGATTTCATGGGAACTGATGCTGCCATTTTTCGCAGTTTAACCCGACGAAATGCTGTGAGGACTGATCAGCACAACTCCAAGTGGCTAAGTGGTAAGGTGACCATATATAATCTCTGTGGCTTTACTGCAAACAGTAACTGAAAAAAGTTGAGAAAGAGTTTCGCTTTCTGTTTTTTTTTTAACATTTTAGGAATAGGACATTTTTAAATTGGCCCAAACAAAAGCATATAATAAACTAAAAATGCACCATTTCTTTTATACTGTGTATCCCAGTACAATGCAAAATACATGGAACCAATTGAGGGACAATATAATAATCTCATACACTTGCATTAGGAGCACACACTTACATAAGAGTTCTATGGAAGTATCACTTATGCTAAACAACTGCAGTTGTTGGTGTATATAGGAATGCTGTGATTTCCACATAAGGAGTAAGTTTGTTTTTGAATTGTCTCTGCTATTGTAAAAAAAAAAAAAAACAACCCAGGTTCCATAGCTGGAAATAAGAAAGCCTCCACCTACTATATATACTCTTGTATAAGTCTGGAAAAAATGGTTTAAAAATGACCCAAAAACTTTGGTTGACTTGTTCAGGTCAGTATAAGTATTGTCTTCAATCTTTTTTCTTTAGATTTTTAATAAATTTTATTGTGTAAAGGTAATATACAGAATGTAAAATAAAGGAAATACATCAAATACGCATAACACTAATACATCTGTCTACCACACTCACCCCTCTCCCCCACCTGTGAACCACCACGCATGACTTTATTTATTTATTTCTTATTTAATTTATTTATATACCGCTTTTCTCAGCCCTCAGGCGACTCAAAGCGGTGAACAACATCGATACAAAACATCACGAGACAAGTATAGGGCAATTAAAAACAATTGTAACTTCTGACACCACTCAATGTGAAACAAATAGTTCATTAAAATCTACGTTTATCTTTATATGGCCATCTGTCAGGGGTGCTTTGAATGCAATATTCCTGCTTCTTGGCAGGGGGTGGGACTGGATGGCCCATGAGGTCTCTTCCAACTCTATGATTCTATGATTCTATGATTAATAACTTCCCCTACTGTAATAGATTCTAACCTTTGCCGGCTAGGCCGAAGCCTGAGAGTCAGTAAGCTGGGTCTCCATCTTAGGATAGGCAAGGAGGCAGGGGAGGAGTCAGCCGACTCCTGATTGGTTTAAGCACCAAGGGGAGGAGTTGGGTGAGAGTGAAAAAGGCTGTCACTTCTGACAGGAGGGAGAGAAGGGTCTAACAGAGGCAGAGAGAAGTAGGATTTTAACAGAGAAGAATGATTTGATCTTAGAGAGAGAAGTGAGTTTCTGAGTGGGTTTAGAAAGTAGACTGGTAGGGAATAATAGAAGGCAAGTGCTGCAGTGTATTTTGGCTTGGGTAGTCAAAGGGGAGACTTGCTGACTTGTATTAAGAGAGAATACAAGTAAGATTATTTCCTTACAGTGCAGAGTAGGCTAGAAGGAACCTAGTTACTCTTGCAGGCAGCCAGGGCAGCTGGCCTAAGAAACACACTGTTACTTGTTATAGGAATAGTGTGTGGAAAGTAACTCACGTCAGAGAAAAGTTAATCCTTCTATAGAAACCATTTGTTTTATAAGTCGGCGCCTCAGTAACCATCGATGCATATGAACCTCTCAGTAATGAGTTGTCTGTTTCAAACATTTCAATAAACTTGTTCCCTAGTTTACTTCTAATTTGCCTCAGCCTTGTTTTGTCCTGTAAAGCCAGTTCCAGTCAGTCTCTACATCTCTGCAGTTTAGTTACAAGAAAGGGAGCCGAAACAGAAGAACCGGTGTAGAGGAACCTATTACCTCAAGTACTACAACCAGTTAATTCCTCAAACAGTGATTGAGGTGGTGGCAGCAAACCTACCATATCCCTGTCACACATGCGATAAGGGACCCCTCGTTCCTCGTTCCTTAATCTCCCTTACATTGGTGGCAGCGGTGGGATAGAAAGGTTTCCTCCCTGCCAACTGCGGAACGGCCCTTAATCCTGTTTACACCTACCTTTGTCTTCCTTTCTAGATATTCAGATCAAGCCTTCGTTTTCTAACAAGGTCTTCATAATTTTCTCCTCTAGTGCCATTGGACAGCTTGACCATATGAATATAGTCTAATAATTTTCCTCTCTAGTCCTTTATCAATAGCTCTTTTTTCCCCTTCCATGATTTTGTTATTTTTAATCTTGCAGCTACAAAACATGTCTACATCTTCTTTACTGATTTTTTCACCAAATAAACCTAGGAGGCACATTTCTGTTTTCCCCCCCACATTTTTAGTAATTATTTTATTTGTTTCCTTGATTATCTTTTCCCAAAAAGTTTGTACCAGCCTACAAGTCCACCAAGTATGGAAGAAGGCACCTTTATGTATTCTGCCTCTCCAGCATCCCTCCTAATGGAATTTATCTATTTTGCTTTTCACCTTGGAAGTTATATAGCTTCTTCAGAACATTTTATACATGTTTTCTCTGTTGGACCCAGCTACTGAAAATTTAAAACTTCTTTTCCATAAATATTCCCATTTTTCCAAATCAATATTTTTCCCTAAATCTTTAGCCCATGAAATCATTGCTGTTTTTATTTAATTATCTTCTAAGTTGTATCCTAAAATGTACCGGGCAGTGGGGATATTCAGCTGCCTACCCTGGATGACGAGGCGCTACGCCCGTCATCATTGGTAAAGAGTCTGGGAGTCCTTTTGGACCCTCTGCTGACGATGGAGACCCAGGTCTCCGCCGTTAGCAGAACCGCCTTTTTTCATCTGCGGCAGGCTAGACGGCTGGCCCCCTACCTGTCCAGGGACGACCTAGCTACGGTGATCCAGGCTACGGTCATCTCAAGACTGGACTACTGTAAAGCCCTCTACATTGGCCTTCCTCTGTTGGTGATCCGGAAGCTCAAGTTGGTACAAAATGCAGCTGCTCGGCTTCTTGCGGGAATTCCGATGAGATGCCACATAACACCAATCTTACTACAGCTGCATTGGTTACCAATTGAGCACCGGATCACTTTCAAAGTGATGGTACTCACCTTTAAGGCCTTGCATGGTCTGGGGCCGATGTACCTGAGGGACCGCCTCACCCCCTACCAACCCCAGAGAGCCCTCCGTTCTGAGGACCAAGATCTATTGGAAATTCCCAGTGTCAAGACCTTGCGTCTAACAGCAACCAGACGCAGAGCCTTTACAGCAGTGGCACCATCACTCTGGAATACTCTGCCACCTGAAGTCCGTGCCTTGCGGGACCTATCAGCTTTCCGCAGGGCATGTAAGACATATCTGTTTTGACAGGCCTTTGATCTCTGACATTGTTGTTTTAAATTGTTTTAAAATTGTTTTTAAATTGTGTTAGATTTTAGCCTGTTCTTGTAAGCGGCTCCAAGCCCCAGGGGAGTGGCGGCATATAAGTTTGAATTATAAATAAATAAATAAATAAATAATCTGAAAATTAGTCCTTTATTCCCCTTCTCCAAAATGTTCTCCAGTTCTGATTTTCTTTGGGGAAATCCTACTTTATTATCTTTCTTAAATCTGTTGTGTAGTTGGAAGTAATGAAACTAGTAGTTTATCCTTAATTCTTCCCTCCCTTTTAGTTTCCATTGTCCATTTTCTTTGCTTAGGTACACCTTATAGGTACTCTTTTTCTCATTAAATGCTGGATGTAGCAATGCCTACAGAAGCCACAGCCATGGGGGTGGTTTATTTGGTTTGGTTTTGTTTTTTTGCTCCATCCCTGCCTTGTATCACTTCCTAATTGTAAGAAGGTTGGCTCTTATAATGTGTCTATTAAAATCTTTATTGGTCTTTTCTTTTTTGTACCACAAGTACACATGCCATCCAAATCTTAAATTGTACCCTTCTAAATTAAGTAAGACACAATATTATATTCTAATCCATTCTTAATCAAAATAAGGAGGGAGAAGCAGCAGCAGCAGGAGGAAAAGCAGCAGCATGCCTGTCTTTTGAGCAGAGTGGGGAATAGCAAGAGCTTAATCCATCCTGGGAGAAAGTAAAAGAAACACCAGTCATGACACTACTCTTGCTTTTTTGAATGCCTAGGTGGGAAAATGTGGCAGCAACCAGGGGCATTGACATTTCCTCTCTCCTTGATACAATCAATTCATACATTGATTGTATCAAAATGCACAGTTTATACCCCCGCGCTTGCCCTCAACTTATACAGAATGTTGACTTCTACATAAGTATATGCAGTAGTTTTAGATGTCTGTCAGTTTGTAGTAATGGCTCTTGATCTCCAAATTTTCTTTGGACTTTATATCATTCCAGAGCCTATTTTTGTGGATGCTCATCTCATCCCAGATGGCACGGACCCAAATGATGCCAAAGTATACTTCTTCTTCAAAGAGAAATTGATGGACAACAGCGGCAGCACAAAGCAGATCCACTCCATGATTGCCAGAATATGCCCTGTAAGCAAACTCTTCCATATGTTATACTGTTCATATTAATTGGATAATCAAAAAGGAATAGATCATATTAACAACTGGAAACATTCTTACAGGATTCTGTTTAAAGTCACCAAATTAATGTATGGCTGTTTTTGAAGGATGGCCATTGGAAATGGGCTGTATGGTTTTCAAAATATATCTCCCATAGAATACTGGTCTGAATAAGGAACAGTAATATTTTATCTTTTTAATATTAATTTTTATTCAATAGAACAGAAATACAAACATATAAACAAATAGAAAGGTACAGAAAAAAAAGGAGTTACAAAAAGCAAGAACAATATATCCCCTGGCCAGAAACAAAAGTTTTTGTTGGACCACTCCAAAAACCACCGTGTCAGCCTACACAGAGAAGCCATTGAAATCCACAAGCATGTGGACAATTTCAACACAAAGGAGGAAACCATGAAAATGAACAAAATCTGGCTACCAGTACCGAAAAACTCTAAAATTAGAACAGCACAACAACAGAGAGGAAACAAACAATCACCTCTCAACAAAAGATTGCTCCAGGCACTGCCAGGCAACCAAATGCTAATCAAGGTAGTCAGCTGAAACATTCACACCTAGCTCCAACAGACAAGAGTCCTTTGTCCCACCCTGGTCATTCCACAGATATATAAACCCCTTTTTCCTAGTTCCATCTGACCTCACTACCTCTGAGGATGCTTGCCATGGATGCAGGTGAAACGTCAGGAGAAAATGCCTCTAGAACATGGCCATATAGCCTGAAGAAACCTACAACAACCCAAAAGTTTTTTTCTTGATATATAAGACTAGACTACACCTCTGTAAGAAAAGAATCCTTTTTTTCTTATTTGAACACTAGATTTATAGCATATACAATTGCAACATACATAGCAAGGTGAAACAAATATTTATGCAGGCCAATGGATACTTCACCTCAGACATCAGAAGAGCTGCAAGACCTAGGACAAGCCACAAGAGTAAACACAAAGATCCACCCAGAGGAAAAGTGCTCTTGCCATACATTGAGGGGAACCACTGACCGCATAGGGAAGCTGATGAGGAAAGACAACATACAAACTATCTATACAAACTATACATACAAACCCACCAAGAAAATCCAACAAATGCTACGGACAAGAGGGATTCCTCTCACTTCTGCAGGAGTCTACCATATACCATGCAGCTGTGGGTCAAAAGACACTAAATAGAGATAGCCATTGCTGTTGTAATGGAGCCCAGATGAGTTCTCAAGAAGCCTGGAACAAAATCCTGCTTGAATACTATATGCCAAACTTCATAAAATATGAGTTGAACTTATATGCTGTTGTGTATCTGCTGAACTTACTAGAAGTTGACATCAAATATCATTTCAGTAAGGATTAGATAGGGGTCTAAATGTTCATTGTTATTAAAAAAATAAGTAGAACCTACTGCATAATGTTTCAATATGTACCATTCATGTTCTGCCCCCACGCTATCTTAACTACTTGGAAAGTGAACTTGCTGTACAGGTGACAGATCGGATACTATATCATTGAATCAAACAAGAATGTATTAACTGACCCAAATTTTAGAGTGTCTTTCCTCCTGAGTCTCCCTGCGAAGTCTTTATGAGGACTTATGGCCCCCTTCCACACAGCTATATAAAATATTCCGCCATTCTCACCCCGCAGGGGACTCAGGGCGGATTACAGTGTACACATATATGGCAAACATTCAATGCCAATTTTGACATATAAACATATACAGACATACACAGAGGCTATTTAACTTTTTCTGGCTGCCAGGGGAGCTGTTGCTTTCATCGAGCTTCCGCATTCCCCGCATGCTTCCCTGCTGGAATGCTCTGCTGGAGTCTTCTTTATGGCCTCATAAATTAGTTAATTTAGCCTACCCACACTTTAAGGTGGTACCTAATTTTCCTACTTGACAGATGCAACTGTCTTTCGGGCTGCAAAGGTCGACAACAGGCTATACACAACTGGTTGGAAACCCACTCCAACCTGGGCTGGCTTCGAACTCATGACCTTTTGGTCAGAGTGATCTTAATGCAGCTGACACTCAGCCAGCTGTGCCAACATCCCGGTACATTGAACTGGATTATCTGGTAGTGTGAACTCAGATAATCCAGTTCAAGCAGGGTCCTTGGTCAGTGAATTTAGGTCCATAACTAAAAGATGCTGAATCACTTGGTTCAGGGCCAAGGATAGCTTCTTTAAAGCTCAAAACCCAGGGCCCTTCCACATACCATACAAGCATAAAAGAGATATTACTTTAGGTTCTTCTTAGTAGGAGTTGGAAGCTTTGGTTTCAAGTGTCTGGTGTAACTCCTCTGGGGGCCCTTCCATGCAGCCCTATATCCCAGAATTAAGGCAGAAAATCCCACAATATCTGCTTTGAACTGGATCTGAGTCCACACTCAGATAATATGGGATTTTCTGCCTTGATATTCTGGAATATAGGGCTGCATGGAAGGGCCCCCAGAGGAGATACACCAGGCACTTGAAACCAAATCTTCCATCTCCTACTAAGCTGAACCTAAAGTAATATCTCTTTTATGCTTTTATGGTTTCAGAGACTGTGAATTCTCTTTGAAAACTTTGCCTTCATGGAGTAATGTAGAAATAATGTTCGTTGGACACACTTCTTCTTTATGAACAGAGTGTATGTTGTGGGTTAGTGTCCATGGACTACCCTCTGACAGTCTCAATTGGAATTATTCTAAGAAAGTGGTGGCACAATGTTTTATTTCACATGGGGCTCATAGAGACTTTTTTCAGCTAACAGTAATCTCTTTTTCTTCAGTTTGCTACTATCTTCATTATTTTAGAGAATCATCAGCCCCCAACCTATGCTCCAGATGTGTTGGATGACACTTTATTCATCTCAGTCAGCCAATAATGCTGGCTAAGGATATTAAAAAGTATGGCCTCCAACACATCTGGAGATATTAGTTTGGAGACGTGTGTCTGTTTAATCCATAAGCAAATGATGAATTCGTTATTTGATTCCACAAGGTATGGTGTCTGTTGTAAAGGAGAGTAATGGAAGCATATGGTCTTCTGTTTTAAGTTTTAATTTCGTAATCTTATTTGTTTATTTGTTTGATATATATTCTGTCTTTCATCCTAAACTGGAACAAAATGACTCACAAGACTAAAACCTACACAGCTTAAAACAGACAAAAACAATTGCAGAGAAACACAAATGTATAATGTTACAAAAGCATTAAGCAAATTATATCAAAGTAGGGCCTCCGGTGGTGCAGTGGGTTAAAGCACTGAGCTGCTGAGCTTGTTGATCGAAAGGTCGCAGGTTCGATTCCGGGGAGCGGCGTGAGCTTCCGCTGTCAGCCCTAGCTTCTGCCAACCTAGCAGTTCGAAAACATGCAAATGTGAGTAGATCAATAGCTACCGCTCCGATGGGAAGGTAACGCGCTCCATGCAGTCATGCCGGCCACATGACCTTGGAGATGTCTACGGACAACGCTGGCTCTTCGGCTTAAAAATGGAGATGAGCACCACACCCCAGAGTCAGACATAACTGGACTTAATGTCAGGGGACTACCTTTACCTTTACCTATTGCTCAGAAGATTTGAGAAGATACTTGAAGGAATGTAAATGTCAGAATATGTGTTTCATCCGTCTGTAAGCTATTTATTTATTTCCTTTTTTCACTCCAGAATGACACAGGTGGACAGCGTAGTCTTGTAAACAAGTGGACAACTTATTTGAAAGCAAGGCTTGTGTGTTCAGTAATGGATGATGATGGCACAGAGACCTACTTTGATGAATTAGGTACAGTGGTATTAATTTCTAAAAACAAATGATATAAAATATGTTTCACTTGTGATATCTTGTATTTGGCACATTTGTCTGAAGTTCTTTCAAATGTCATTTAACCTCTCCCAAACATTAGGGGAAAAGAACACTATTTTTTAAAAGTGTCCTTTATTTCCTGTTTTCATAGTGGCTACTTGCTCCCTCCATGTAGGTTGTTAAACACTGAGTGTGATTAAAGCTAATACACCAGAGCAAAAATGATTCTTCTCATTTATAGGGCAGAAATAAGTCCTGTTCAATTGAATATTACTTTATCTCAAGTAGATTTATGTAAGGTAACAGGGCCTTGTCTTCATACTGCATACATTGTTCACCATTAGGCGATTTTTTAACATTTTAGTAAGACTACCCAGTACATTTATAAATACACTAGCCATCCCCTGCCACGCTTTGCTGTGGCCCGCATGGGGGTTCTATGTGGGAGGTTTGGCCCAATTCTATCGTTGATGGGGTTCAGAATGCTCTGTGATTTTAGGTGAACTATAAATCCCAGCAACTACAACTCCCAAATGTCAAGAGTCTGTTTTCCCCAAACTCTACCAGTGTTCACATTTGGGCATATTGAGTATTCGTGTAGAGTTTGGTCCAGATCCATCATTGTTTCAGTCCACAGGGATGTCTGGATGTAGGTGTACTCCAAAACCAAAGGACACTGCCCACCAAACCCTTCCAGCATTTTCTGTTGGTCATGGGAGAACTGTGTGCCAAGTTTGGTTCAGTTCCATCGTTGGTGGGGTTCAGAATGCTCGTTGATTGTAGGTGAACTATAAATCCCAGCAACTACAACTCCCAAATGACAAAATCAATTTTTTGAGTGAAGGACATACGTTGGGTTGTTAGGTGTCTTGTGTCCAAATTTGGTGTCAATTCGTCCAGTGGTTGTGCTTCCTTAGCCAATGATGATAGTAGTTGTTTTAAATTTTATCCTTTAAATTCATATTATGTGATTATGTTTGCTAGGGTTGTCAAGTTTTATTTTTGGGTTAATTTCTATTTGGTATTAGCTTTATAGTTATGGCTGTTCTATTTTCTTTGATTTGCTTTGTCTTGATGCAATTTGTTATTATGTATTTTTCCTGGTGTTGAATGTTTGCCATATGGGTTGGAAACCACCCTAAGTCCTGCTTTCATGGACAAAAGAAACTAAAGCCTCAAGCCCCGCTGCCTGGCTTTATTACTGGTGGGGATGGGCAGGGTTGGAGTCCCTAACTGAACAAAGGGTTCTCGCCAAGGGATGTTTTGAACAGCTAGCAAAATGCAAAGTCTGGAATACTAGATACCAGAAGCTGCTGGAATTTCACCCCACTCTGTCTGATAAGCCTTCTATCTTGAACTCAAGGGAGAAGCTCCATGAATATATTTTTAATAATTGTGCCCACCATTATAGGCAGGCCATTAACAACTCCAAATTCTCCCACTGGTTTAGACTGTACAAACTTGACCATGATAGGACCATCTACCTGACTAGGCTCACATATCCAAAACTTAGACAAGCCTTCACAGCCCTTTGTTTTCAAAGTATGCCCACAGCAGTGATTGATGGCAGATATACGGGCACACCTCTGGCTCTTCGTTTATGTGTTTGCGGGGCCCCGGAAATTGAGGATCTGCCTCACTATTTGCTTTTCTGCCCTTTGTATTCTGATCCAAGAACCAAAATACTCGGGTTTATTCTTCACCTCCTTCAGACCAACACTGTGTCTGAAAAGATTTTTTATCTCTTGGCTGACACTAACCCCGTGGTTACTCAAAAGGTGTCTCTTTTTGCCCTGGCAGCACAGAAAATCCGGGCAAAACTAATCTCTGATATTGCAGTTGACTGTGCTGGGGATGCTCTCATCTAATATCGGCTGTTTATGTAGTTTTAATAATGCTGTATCTGTTTGCTTTTACTTGGTTTTTAATTATGCAGATATGAGTCTATACATTATGTAGTATTTTAAAGGTGCATCTTGCCATCGATATATGTAGCATTTTAACGATTTATAGGATTTTATTGTGTATTTTATATTGTATTTAATAATTTGGTGTTTATGTATTTATTTATCTGCCTTGCCTTGTATGTGAAAGACCTATGGTCAAAGCATCGAATAAACTAATCAAACCTAAATCTACCCAGGTCCCATCTACATTGACTACTTAATGCAGCTTGAAAAACACACTGCCTAAGCGCACTGAGAATGAATTAAAGATTTTAGGGCACATCTAGCACAGCTAAGGGAAGGTCTGAGTTAAATCCTTGAATGCATTTCAGCGAGAAGAAGAAGAACTTTATTTTTCTACCCTGCCTCCATCTCCCCAAAGGGACTCGGGGCGACTTACATGGGACCCAAGCCCAGGCAGAATACAATTAAAATAAAGGAATAACAATTAAAACAGCATAAAAACAGCATTATTTATTTATCGTGTCATCAGCAACCAGACCATTGTATTACATTTCTAACAGAACAAAACAAACAAACAGATTAAAAAAACACAAAAATTTTGCAAACTTGATAGCTGATTAAATGTCCTTTGACCAGTATCTGGCCACTTGGAGTGCCTCTGGTGTTGCCGCAAGAAGGTCCTCCATTGTGCATGTGGCAGGGCTCAGGTTGCATTGCAGCAGGTGGTCAGTGGTTTGCTCTTCTCCACACTCGCATGTCGTGATTCCACTTTGTAGCCCCATTTCTTAAGATTGGCTCTGCATCTCGTGGTGCCAGAGCGCAGTCTGTTCAGCGCCTTCCAAGTCGCCCAGTCTTCTGTGTGCCCAGGGGGGAGTCTCTCATTTGGTATCAGCCATTGGTTGAGGTGCTGGGTTTGAGCCTGCCACTTTTGGACTCTCGCTTGCTGAGGTGTTCCAGCGAGTGTCTCTGTAGATCTTAAAAACTATTTCTAGATTTAAGTCGTTGACGTGCTGGCTGATACCCAAACAAGGGATAGGCTGGAGATGTCACTGCCTTGGTCCTTTCACTATTGGCTGCTACTTCCCGGCGGATGTCAGGTGGTGCAATACCGGCTAAGCAGTGTAATTTCTCCAGTGGTGTAGGGCGCAGGCACCCCGTGATAATGCGGCATGTCTCATTAAGAGCCACATCCACTGTTTCAGCGTGGTGAGATGTGTTCCACACTGGGCATGCATACTCAGCAGCAGAGTAGCATAGCGCAAGGGCAGATGTCTTCACTGTGTCTGGTTGTGATCCCCAGGTTGTGCCAGTCAGCTTTCATATGATATTGTTTCTAGTGCCCACTTTTTGCTTGATGTTCAGGCAGTGCTTCTTGTACAGCATAAAACAACATAACAACAATAACTAGCAACAACAATAACAGCAGACTAATTTTGGAGGGGGGGAGGAAAACCACTACGTGAACTAAAAGATAAAGTGGTTTAGTAAGGTAGATGACAATGTATAACGGCATAGGAAAAATCATGGAAACAGAGCAAATTAACAGGATCAGTTAATATAATATAGGACATCAGACTGAATGACAATTCAAGTCATGATACAGGCCATTTGTCATAGCGAGTCCCCCGATGTATCACATGACAAAATTAACTCCAAATAAAGTGAAGTGCATTGTAGCCCCTCACTCAGACTGGAGCTCATTTGAACATTTGCAAAGAGGGGATGGGGGCTGCTAAAAATACCCCAAGGAGATAGCTGAATAGTAGGGGACAAATTGACCTTCTGAGATAGGTGATTGATTACCAGATTGCTGCTGTGCATCTCAGAAATGAGAAAAAAATTCAGGTTTCAGGAACCTGTTTGACACCACCTTTCATGGTTTAATGTAATTACCTTCCTGGCCTCAAACCTGTTTCAAACATGTCAGTTTAATCATCCGCACAGCAAAAATTGTTTTTCCCTATCCAATATAAACGGTCGGTGTATATATGCCCCTTATCACTACTGCTTATAACTCAGATAGTCCCCAGTTGTCAAAAATTCTGTTCTATCCTTTTCTACGACTGTGATCTCTAATCTTTGCAGTGCTTGTGCCATCATTATAGTTCTGGAAATTATGGGTTTTATGGTTCTTTTAAGAAGTGGATCTGTCATGTAAATAAGGAAGAAAAATATGATGTACAGAACAGAATTATCATCAAGAATGCAAGATAGATGTTATGCTCAGGCAGAGGTGAATGACTTGAGGTTTTCTATATGATACTACCTGTCCTCTGCCACGCGTTGCTTTGGCCCTGTCTAGTTATCTGGAAAATAAAGTAATGAGAAAGTGTTGGTTTCTAATATATGTAATTTCTTTGTCATTGGTTTGTGGTTTGCCTACTCTGGAACATGCAACATATAATTGTCCTTCTTTAGAAGTCTCTTTCAAATCTATGATACTATATCTCTCTGTGTGTGAATAATATATATTAGGCCTGTTTGATCAAGAAAACATTTGTTTCTAAAATCGATTTGTAATTGGGGTGTTTTTTTGTTTCGATATTTAAAATATTTACAAAACTTTCCCAAAAAAAGTTTTGGTATTTACGAAATTTTGTAAATATTAACGAATTTTTAGAATATTTTTTGTATTTTTTTAAGAATAAAAGGCAGGTATTTTTAGAAAATATTCAGAAATGGAAAATTAACCAAAAACTGGCCCTGATGTAGAGCTAACACAGGCAGGAGACAGGGCAATCGAGAGCACACACCAAAAGAAGAGTCTTTTCTTTTTTTGGAATATTTTTGGTTTTTTTTAAGAATAAAAGAAAGGTATTTTTAGAAAATAATATTAAAATAATATTAAAAAATATTTTAAAATGGAAAATTAACCAAAAAAATGGCCCAAATGTGGACCAAACACAGGCAGGACACAGCAAATGAGAGCACACACCAACAGAAGAGTCTTTTCTTTTTTAGAATATTTTTAAGAATAATATTAAAATAATATTAAAAAATAATATTAAAATAATATTAAAAATATTTTTAAATAATATTAAAAAATATTTTAAAATGGAAAATTAACCAAAAAATGGCCCAAATGTGGACCAAACACAGGCAGGACACAGCAAATGAAGCAAGCAGCACTCACAGCAGCAAGGAATGAATCCAATCCAGTTGCTAGCCATTGCCAAGCCAACCTCTTCTCTCTCCCTCGCCCTCTGCAGCAAGCTACGGGCCGCGCGGAGCCGCTTTGAAAGGGCTCGCCGGCCAATCAAAAACAAACAGCCACGGACCCACAGTGCACTGCTTGGGAGCGCCGGATTGGCTCCCAGGCACCAGCACTCCAGCAGCCTCCACCCCATTAACGAAACGAGCGGAAGCTCGTTAAATCTATGGGGGTTGCTGGTTCGATATTTTAAAACCCTTCCGGGTTTGGAAATGTGTTTTGATATCGCTTCAAAAATGCCTAAAATAACGAATTAATAACGAATTAACGAACGAAACCGGACAGGCCTAATATATATCTATCTATATCTATGGCTGGATGGCTCTTTGTAAGGAGGGCTTTGATTACATTTTCTTGCTCTGATGAAGGGAGTTGGACTGGATGGCCTTAAGTATTTTCTGTTGGTCATGGGGGTTCTGTGTGGGAACTTTGGCCCAATTCTCTTACTGGTATGGTTCACAATGCTCTTTTATTGTAGGTGAACTATAAATCCCAGTAACTACAACTCCCCAATATCAAGGTCTATTTTTCCCAAACTCAATCTGTATTCATATTTGGACATATGGAATATTTGTGCCAAGTTTGGTCCAGATCCATCACTGTTTGAGTCCACAGTGCTCTCTGGATGTAGATGAACTACAACTTCCAAACTCAAGGTCAATGCCCATCAAACCCTTCTAGTGTTTTCTGTTGGTCATGGGAGGTCTGTGTGCCAAGTTTGGTTCAATTCCATCGTTGATAGAGTTCAGAATGCTCTTTGATTGTAGGTGAACTATAAATCCCAGCAACTACAACTCCCAAATGACAAAATCATCATTTTTTGAGTGATGGTCACTTCTTGTGTTGTGAGATGTTTTGTTGCCAAATTTGGTGTGATTTTGTTCAGTGGTTCTTTTGTTTTTAAGGCACTCATTATGCACAGAGTATATATATATAGATAGATTGGGCCTTTGTTGGACAAGAATCCAATAGAATCTGGAAAGCCACAATTTTCTCATTCATAGAGGCAACTTAACAACTTACTTAGTTGTCATATAAGCAATTAACAGTGGCAGATACTTTTCAACTGCTTTTTTTAAAAAAGAAGGTGTGGTAGAAGAGATGCATAATACAATGTGAGTTTGTTTCCATTTATTATAAACTAAAACAAAATGCAACAAAAGTCACATTTCAAACAGAATAATGTTATGGCATGTATACTACAGGCTGCAAATCACAAAGCCGTGCATACAAATCTAATTAGTAACTGTATTGTTTTTCCCCTTCAGAGGATGTGTTTCTTCTTGAAACAGATAATCCCAGGACAACATTGATATATGGTGTATTCACAACCTCCAGGTATTTTTATGCATTTATTAAACGAAGTATTCAGTTTTATTTTTACATGAGGTTTTTTGGTAAATCACTTCCATCAAATATTTATATGCATCATGTTTTGTAAATGTATAACACCTAGAACAGTGGTTCTCAACCTTCCTAATTGTTGTGGTTCATCCTGTGATTGTACCAGTGTCTGAGGTTTCAGAGGAGATTGTGCCAGCATCACGGGAGTCTGGTTCTGTACCTGATGAGGCTAGATATTCTGGGAATGTTAGGCCAGCAATGACAGGCCTGAGTTAGATTTCTCAAGTGAACCAAGGTCAGTCTCTGATCGGAATGTAGTAATTACAGATGTGTCTCCTCTTTACTCCCCTGTTTCTCCTGAGATAGATAGAAGAAGAGCAATTTGTCAACAAAGACAAGCAGCTGAAGGGAGGTGCCGTTCCTAGTGCTTGCTAATGAGAAGGGGCCCTGCAGAGAGTTCCCAAGGGAAGCACCATAGTTTCTTAGGTATAAAGGAGGTTTGATTTGGGTTATACCTTAGAGGAGTTGTAACAGAATTTGATCCCCACAAGCTGGACAGGGGGAAAGGCTATTCCACCTCTGCCACCAGTGTGAAGGATTAACGTTCAGCTGGACACTAATATAACAGATTCCAAACGGCTACTTGGCTGAGAGACAAGCTTTTCTAATACTAACTCAGCTATATTATTATTGAGTGACCAACTGTGATGTAGTTATTAATGACCGATGAAATTGGTAGTTTCGCCGCCGCCACCTCAATTATATGTCTGAGGAAAACATAAGTGTGAATGTGAAATAGGTAAATTGTGTTCAAGCCCTTTGGTTCTTCTTTAATGGCTGGTTCTCTCGCTGACTGGATTGAAAGTAGGTTTTCTTTAAGCTAGCCTAGTTTCACTGAGCTAGACAGACCGAGGCAGACACCAGTTGAAAGTGAATTAGAAACAGGTTTATTTAAACTTGGTGACTAAGTCAACTCTTAATATGAGTGGTACACAGGCGTAATGCGGTTACTGAGGCTCAGCTGGTTAGACAAGTGGTCTTTTCTAAGACTATAGCTTTTGTTTCCTGCGAGTCTCTTGCTTCACACTGTTCACCTCACTGACACAGTGTGTCCCTGAGGTCAGTCCCCTGACTGCCTCCCAGAGCAAACAGGCTTTCCTTCACTGACCCTCCTATGTACAGTGATCTAGGAACCTTTGCCCTTCCTTTGCTCTAACCACAAGGCTCACTTCAAAAACTTTCCTTCCCTGCCTAGATTCCACTCAGCTCCCTCTTCTTAAAATCCTTCTACACTCTTCGATGTTCAAAAACCCTTCTCCAGCTTGTCAGAAAAGACAGGTTTTTTCCCTCTCACAGCCAACTCCACCCCTATTGCGATAGCCAATCGGGAGTCGGCTGACTCCTCCCTCTTGCCTCTTTGCCTTCCTGCCTATCTCTCAAGATGTCAGCTACTGACTTTAAGGCTTCGGCCTCCTGGCAAAAGGTTAGATCTATTACAGGAGTCAATGTCTGGATTCAAGTTACATGCTTCAGGTTTCCTCTCAAGTTTTCTCATGTGTATGGGATACATGGATTCAAGTCTAAGGTTTTTCTGTGTGATTATTCATGAAATCATGCTTCTAGTATCAAGTGGTTTCATGGTCTTCTGCATCTTTGGATTTATGTTATAGCTGTTTTGTGCTTTTGATCTTCTCGGTTGCTGTGTTTTGTTAAAGACTCCTGTTTATTTATTTTTTATTTATTTAGAAGTTTTATATAGTCTTCTCCACCTCAGAAGAGGGACTCAGGCCAGTTCATAATATATGTTCATATACAGTAATATAAAAAAACAGCACAGTGCATCATCATTATACATTAAAATGTAAAATACAATAAAATACATCACATTACACAAGCCAGGTCGTCAAATACAGTCACAATTCATCGCCATCCTTCCGTGTGGACAAGGGTTATTGACTCAGTCATCGAATGCCATATTCCAAAGCCAGGTTTTTATTAGCTTTCTAAAGGTCAGGAGGGAAGGAGCAGATCTAATCTCTGGTGGGAGGGAATTCCAAAGCTGAGGGGCCACCACCGAGAAGGCCTTGTCCCTCGTTCCCACCAGACGCTATTGCTAGAGTGGTGGGACCGAGAGCAGGGCCCCTCCGGAAGATCTTAATAATCTTGATGGTTCATAGGGGAGAATCCGTTCGGACAGGAAAACTGGGCCGGAGTCATTTAGGGCTTTATAGGTCAAGACCAGCACTTTGAATTGTGCTCGGAAGCTAATTGTCAGCTAGTGGAGCTGGCGTAACAGAGGAGTCCCGTATGCTCTCTGTACCCCGCTCCTGTTAGCAATCTGGCTGCCGCTCGTTGGACTAATTGAAGCTTCCAGGCAGTCTTCAGAGGCAACCCCACGTAGAGAGCGTTGCAGTAGTCTAAACGGGATGTAACCAGAGTGTGGACCACCGTGGCCAAGTCAGACTTTCAAGTACGGGCCCAGCTGGCGCACAAGTTTAAAGATCTTGCCTCTATCCTGGACTTATAGATTATTGCTTTCAAGTTTTTTTTCAAGTGCCTTGTTTTGCATGGATTATATTTTGTATTGAGTTTTGATCTTTTAACCATTTTTTGCTGAAGCTACATTTATTATTAATAAACTGCTTTACTTATTAGCTGATTTCTGGAATGTGAAGTTGGTTTAAAGGTGCCTTCCCAGCCCAGGTGTGTGAGAGTTTGACTCCTCTCAAACAGCACCTTTGAACTTTCACTCCAGAATGGATTCAGCAGCTGTTGCCTCCTAAGCTCTGAAATCTTTATAGCCACATCACACGGCACTTCACAGTCTGTTCGCTTATGAGCTGATGCTCAACTTTGGTATCCTGTTTATATTTTTGGATGTTCTACTATATTTTAGGGTAGTTTCCCCTAACACAAATTACATTATGCTGATTAAATTAACATGAAATGATAATATTCCACAAATTCTTGTATCAGTAAAACAGCATCACAGCTATTCTTTGTGACTTTAACCAGTCAGATGTAATCTGGAGATTTCATCTGCAAGATGACAAGGAAGTAGGATTAAAATCTTTATGTTTCTTTCTTTTTCTCATACAGTTCTGTATTTAAAGGCTCAGCAGTGTGTGTGTACCATTTGTCTGATATCCAGAGAGTGTTCAATGGTCCGTTTGCACACAAGGAAGGCCCAAACCACCAACTAATTCCCTATCAGGGAAGAATTCCTTATCCACGACCTGGGACAGTAAGTACTCATATGAACAGCATTATACTTTACCATTTTGCATTTCTTTTATCTGATTTATTCTTCAGTATATCTTTTGCTCAATAATATTTTAAGTCTGGCACTAAAGTGTTCCATGTGATATTTTTGGCCATATTTAAAAGAAGCATGTGGACAAGTTGGCTAGAGCTAAGAGACAGTAGAAATGATAAAAGTAAATAGTGGATGATTTTGATAAGAGGAAAGACTGAAGGGTCTGAAATATGTTTTCCCCATTTCTTAGATTATAGCAATACAAATGAGGGTTGAATTGTTCACTCTCGATTTATGAAAGCAAATTTGTAAAAGGGACAGATAATTTAGGCTTGAATTTACCGTATATACTCGAGTATAAGCCGACCCGAATATAAGCCGAGTCACTTAATTTTACCACAAAAACTGGGAAAACAGATTGACTCAAGTATAAGCCGAGGGTGAGAAATTCAGAAGCTACTGGTTCATTTCAAAATGAAAATAGATACATTACATTAACTGAGGCATCAGTAGGTTAAATGTTTTTGAATATTTATATAGAACTAGCTGTCCCTTGCCACTGCGTTGCTGTGGCCCACATGTGGGTTCTGTGTGGGAGGTTTGGCCCAATTCTATCGTTGGTGGGGTTCAGAATGCTCTGTGATTGTAGGTGAACTATAAATCCCAGCAACTACAACTCCCAAATGTCAAGATTCTATTTTCCCCAAACTCCAGTGTTCACATTTGGGCATATTGAGTATTCGTGTAGAGTTTGGTCCAGATCCATCATTGTTTGAGTCCACAGTGATCTCTGGATGTAGGTGAACTACAACTCCAAAACCAAGGACACTGCCCACCAAACCCTTCCAGTATTTTCTGTTGGTCATGGAGAACTGTGTGCCAAGTTTGTTCAATTCCATCGTTGGTGGGGTTCCGAATGCTCTTTGATTGTAGGTGAACTATAAATGCCAGCAACTACAACTCCCAAATGACATCAATTTTTTGAGTGAAGGACATACATTGGGTTGTTAGGTGTCTTGTGTCCAAATTTGGTGTCAATTCGTCCAGTGGTTTTTGAGTTCTGTTATCCCACAAACGAACATTACATTTTTATTTATATAGATTGTAATTTAAGATAAGACTGCCCTAACCTTCTTCAATGTAAATGTGCTTATGTATCCTTCCAATAATAATACAGTAAAATAATAAATGGGATAATAATAATAGAGTGAAATAATAAATGCAATAATAACAATCATAGAGTAAAATAATAAATTTAATAACACTTATAAAATAAAAGAATGTAATAATAATAAAGTAAAATGATAACTGTAATAATAATAGAGTAAAATAATAAATGTAACATGAACAACACCAATAATGAGAGAGTAAAATAATAAATAACTTTGACTCGAGTATAAGCTGAGGGAGACTTTTTCAGCCTAAAACAAGGGTTGAAAAACTAGACTTATACTTGAGTATATACAGTAATTTAAATCTTGAAAGGAAAGCTGTAACCCCGTTAAATGTTTTGTGAATGGGGAGCAGGGATATTGCTAATCGGGATTGTAACTTTGTCTCAGAATTTTATCTGGGCTGATGAAAAAAATATTCTTTTCTCTGCTAAGATTTTTCTTGCTGTGGGGAAAACGAATTCTATACTGATATGATTTTCCCCACATATAGAACACAAAACTCAGTGTTTATATTCACTGAAGGGGGTAAACTGAAGATGAATCTTCTCTGACCAGTAAACTTGCAACCAGTTAAAGATGCCTCAGACTAGCCCCCCGTGGGGGGGGGGGGTCCCACAGACCCTTTTGAACTTGTCACTGCATTGATGTCTACATTGTCCAGCTGGGCTGAGACCATATTGCCCCAACAAAGCCATCACCTCACTTATGTCATTGTTGCTCCTCGCACTTGGACACAGAGCTCCTTTGGGCACCTTACTCAGACAGCAGCAAAAATGCCCATAAGACCAGAAAGAGACCAGAGGAGATTCCATCTGAACATTAGGAAGAACTTCCTGACTGTGAGAGCCATTCAGCAGTGGAACTCTCTGCCCCGGAGTGTGGTGGAGGCTCCTTCCTTGGAAGCTTTTAAGCAGAGGCTGGATGGCCATTTGTCAGGGTTGATTTGAATGCAATATTCCTGCTTCTTGGCAGGGGGTTGGACTAGATGGCCCATGAGGTCTCTTCCAACTCTTTGATTCTATGATTCTATGAATTAAAAAGGAGCTGAACTCCCCATCTTCTACCTTACTGGGCAAGAACGAGGTACCTACAATGGCCAGGAACACACACAGGGCTCTGTGGTCAGCTGGGAGTGGCAACAAAGACATTGTTCATCTTTTTCCCTGTGCTGATGGAGGTGGTGCACCATCTCGACAGTGGACCATTCTGAATCAGACCTAATCTAGTTGTCCCCACTACCTCAAAGCTGAGGGATAATCCAGAGAAAACTTTGGAGCATCCTCCAACTTTTTCTGAATTGGGGCAAAACTGGTTTAACCTGTGATATCAGACGTACTGGAACCTCATGAGGACAAGTCAATTCAGAAAGAGTCCGGCATTTCGTTCCCATGGAGACACATTCTGAGTCTTATATATACTAAATGCATTTTCAGATGTGGATAAGCCAGTGGTGTGGGATGACAAATGACCTGGATGTAGAATCTGTGTAGTTGCATATAGAAGAGTCAAGGCTCAGGCTTGTTCATGTGAAATCCATTACATGTAGACCTAGGAACAAGCCCCATTTAATAATAATAATAAACCTTTATTTGTACCCCGCTACCATCTCCCGAAGGACTCGGTGCGGCTTACAAGAGGCCGAGCCCAAATACAATAGTAAAAACAACAGCAACAACAGACAGCAAAATAACTCAGAAAACAAAGCAATAACATTGACAACACACAATGACGCAATTAAAAACAATGGCAGGGCCAAATGTAACAATTAAAATTAAAAGTGCTGGGCATGACCAGGTGGAGTGTTTGGAGGGGGATGGGCATGCAGATATCCAGAATCTCTGATAAAGTGCGTTGGGACATAATGCTAGGAGTTTCCTTATTCTGGAAAGGCACACTGGAACAACCACGTTTTCAAGCTCCTCCTAAAGATTGCTAGCGATGGGGCCTGCCTGATGTCCTTAGGGGGAGAGTTCCAGAGTCGAGGGGCCACCACTGAAAAGGCCCTATCCCTCGTCCTGAAACAATCGCGCTTGTGATGCAGGTGGGATCGTGAGCAGGGCTGCTCCAGATGAACAAAGAGATCGTACACAGGGATGCGGTCACGCAGGTAGGCAGGTCCCAAACCGTTTAGGGCTTTGTAAGTAAGCATCTGCACCTTGAATTGGGACCGGAAAATGGCACCAACGGCTACTCTGGCCAGAGCGAAGACAGAAGGGAGCAGAAGACACTTCCATCTTGACTTTACTAATAATATAATATAGTATATTGTATATACATATAATATTTATAATATTATAATGTAATACAATATAATACTAGTAATAATAATTCAATATTATAATTATAATTATATATTTACATTACATGTAATATTACTAATAATATTACAATATAATGTTATAGTGCAATATAGTAATATATACTGATATTGTACTATGCTAATAATATAATATATTGTATGAAAATATATATTGTGAGCCTCTCTGAGTCCCCTTCAGGGTGAGAAGGGCGGCATATAAATGCCGTAAATAAATAAATAAATAAATGCAGCCAGTGGAGCTCCTTAAACAGGATGGTTGACCTCTCCCTGTAAGGAGCACCAGTTAGCAACCTGGCCGCCGCCCATTGGACCAATTGAAATTTCCAGGCCGTTTTCAAGGGTAGCCCCAGATAGAGTGCATTACAGTAGTCCAATCTGGAAGTGACTAAGGCATGGACCACCCTGGCCAGATCCGCCTTCATGAGGTACGGTCGCAGTTGGCGCAGTGGGACTTACCATTTAACTCAGTGGGACTTACCATAATTCTGATTTTTTTTTCCTGAGAAGGTCCTGTTAGTTATTATGGCTAAGGTACATCTCTCCTATAAATCTAGTGAATATGCAGAAGGACTGCATGCTAAAGTGAATTGTGCTGGGCTAGTATTTTGAACACAGCTTAGAAAAAAAATGACTGCTTTTGTCAGGATCTCAATAGGAGATATAATCTAAACAATTTTCAAGCTCTGTTTTTGACAGTCCAGGGCAGCTTCCTATTAATAACTTAGGGGGAAAGTAATCATTTACTTTGCTTTTCCTTAAGTACAAAATGAATGACATTGCAGCCCTCTGCAAAGGTCATGGCCAATTTATTTCCCAATATCCTGTCTTCCCTTTTCTCAGTCCTAGGGGAGCCTGCAATAACAGCTCAGTGATTACAGACAGAGAAACTGCAGCAGCCGTGTTAGTAAAGATCAGTTACCCAGATGATTAGCAGTGAGACTTTGGCTGATAAACTTGTAACTGTAGCATAATGGTTGTTAATGGCACCGACGATTAAAATAATTTGATTAGCTTGGACAGATCTGGTTCCTGCATCTGCGGTTTCCAAGTATGAACGGCGCAAGGCACAAGTGAAATGTAATTCCCTTTTAGCATCAAGCATACCCTTTCAACTGCACATTGTTGATAAATGAACTATGAGCTCAGGCTATTAAGAGATAAAAGGTGGGAAAAGATAAAGGTAACATACCAAGCGTGCATTGCAGGATTTCATTATTTTTATAGGATTCTGATGACATATCTATGAAATGATTCATCTAAGAAGCTGGTTTTGTGTGCCTAGGATTGGTATCATGGGTATAAAAATATGATCTCGAAAGTCTATTTACAAAAATTGAATTAGTTGAAAAAACATAGCTGGGAGCCAGAAGTTGGACATATGGTCTTTTCAATTACATTATATATTGAAAAATGCATGACTAAAAACAATGACTTTAGTAATATGTACTTTAAAAGGGCCTGAAATTCAGGTGTTTGAATTTTTTAAGAAAGCA